AAAAAAATTAAAACCTTCATTAGGTACTGTTTAAAAAGTACGACATAAGGATTGCTTTGGATACAGTACTATAAACTGAGGCTAGGCGCAAATGAATACGTCGTTTACATGTAAATTGCACGTTGAGGTGAATTCAGAACAATACCTTAAATACTAGACTTAGATGACGCCTTTCAGATGCGCCATCTTGTTTGTGGCTGATAAAAGTTGTACTTGATAAGAGCTGAAGAAGAGTTAGTTCCGTCTTCTCTTAGTTATATTATGTTCTGTACTCTAAAAAAGTTAACTTTTTAGAGCACAGAGTTGCCTCAAACAATATAGAGTATTTAACTAACGTTTGTCCCTGTTATACGTATGTAAATTAGAAATGATACAAAAACGATAAATAATTGAAGCAACACAGGAAATTTAAATTATAAACATTAGTCTTCATTTTTTTAAATTTAAACACTTGAAAAATGATGTAAGACACAAAATGATATAAAGAATCACACGTATGTGCATTTAGAATAGAATAGAAGTTCAGTTTAGTCAGTTTGCCGGAGATTTTGATTTAGGAATTGCACGTTTCGGATACAAAAGTCCATTTAAAACCAACGACATTAAACTTAAATTTGTCACTTTAATCAATAGCATGAGTTGAACCTTTATTAGGATTTAGCTGTAAAACAGTTTACTTAGTATTTCATGGAAAATATACTGCGAGTCAATCTTAAACAAAAGCTGTCAGTTCCTTTAAAACCTTATATTTTAAGAAAAAATTATTCACTGTAACAAAATAGATGGGCTTTCCTGGGAATCCTGGAAACTCAGGATTGAAACTCAATACTCCCCAGTTTCTGGAATAACTGTTAGTCAGTGCCATTTTTGACGCATCCTCAAGCAATGCATATGTTTCTCAATGAGTCGCGATTAAAACCTTTTCGCAATTTAAAGTGGGTACTGGTTTGTCAGAATTGAGTAAAATTAAATGGAGTAACTAGCATTAGCAAGATTTTGATAACATTATCCCCCAGGGTACAATTAGATTCAAGCAAAAATTAAAGGAACTGAACTGAGTGAATTCCATTCCCCTGAGAACCAGGTATCCCTATTTTTTCGCCCTTTCATCGGTTAATTAAATAATGCTTCCACCAATGGCAAACTTAAATTAGCTCCCACATTACCATTTCGGGAGCCTAATGTTTAATTAGGATAATAGCAGTGGACACAGATAATTTATACCCGTACATGGTAGCTGCTTTTCAGTTATAAATGGGATTTATGGAGGCTACGTGCTGCTATAACGTGCCCCAGGTTCTCTTGCACAGACTCGTTTCTCTTTTAGTATATAGGCGTAAATATATGAAGACAATAAACTATTAGGGTCGGAGACAATTTTCCTTCTTTGTAAGCGTTGATGCTTCTGTGGAAATTTATACATGCTCGAAAAGATAACAAGAAGCAATGCTCTCTTACTATTAGATTTCCCATGGAACTTATTTGTATATTCATGTGCCAATCTGACCTGGCACAATAATTGATATATACAGATATACAGGGGCTTTTAATAACGATATGCTAATAATTCCATAAAGTATTTCGAAGAAAATTTTGAATTCAATCCTACCTATTTTCTTTTCAGTCAATAATAAAATTTTAAATTTTGATTAAAAGATTTGAATAAAGTCAAATTTTATTGACATGGAATTTTGTATTCAGTTTCAATTAAATACTCTTGTTTTTGATATGTCGATGTGACTTTTTTATTATTAAATCTTTTCGTATTTTATATTTTAACCTCGAGAAAATTTCAATTTTAACCATACTACAATCTGTGTACATTTTTCAGGGAAACTGACAAACTAATGCATTGCTTTTAAGTAGAACGTTCAGATAATTATATCAGATTTGGCGTTGTTTGCATTGAATTTATGTATGTCGCACAAACCTGTTTTAATTCAACGCATCTATACAGGGTGATTCAAAATTGGCGTCATTCCTTTTAAGGGGTAATGGAGGCTCACTTGGGGAGTACGAGAAAAATATTGAAAAATTTTTTTCTAAAATTTCTAGAAGATTTTAACAGTTGAAGATCGAATTTCAACTCAATCAAATATCTCCAAAGTGACCGCGTGCTTTTATATTTGTACCATATTCTATATTTCTTTGATCCAAAACGTTATAACAGCTAAATTATAGTTGATTATGATGGAATATTTCGGGATAAATTTAGAGCGTTTAAAAAAATTGGATTACGCGACACAGTTCGACACATTTCGCAGTATTCAATTTATTCAACAGTCAATTGTACAGCCACTTAATAAATCAATCATATATTCAATTCTTAAGCTCAGTAAATTATATGCTGCAACTAGGTCACACACAACCTGTATGTGCAAAGAATATGAAAAAAAACAGATAAAAAAATAAATAATACTATGTTTATATAAAGGAAGAAAAATCATTTATGATAAAAAGTTGAGAAATTAGTTCAAATTAAGATATGACATCATGATTGTCCAGATTGGCATCATTCCTTTTAATGGGTGATAGAGGCTCCCTTGCGGAGTGCGAGAAAAGATTTGAATAAATTTTTTTCGAAAATTTCTAGAAGATATTAACAGTTGAAGATCGAATTTCAACTTTGCTACTAAGCATTATTTTGCAAGGGGTCCACGTTTGTTTGGTAGCCTATTGGAATACTTAAGCATTCTAAAAGAAAAATAGAGATCATTTTATCAAACCACAAAAATTTTTGATATAAAAAAAGTACTCATCTACAATTTTGTCTGTGTCAATGAAAAGTCAAAGCGGCAATGATATTTTTTGTCATTAGCAGATAGTTACAGGTCGATAGCCTTTGTCAATAATAACCAGCATTTGTCAAACTGTGACTTACTTTGAATTTTCTTTCACGAATTTGCCGATCTGCGATTGGTTCAGGGGAAATGCTACAGTAACATAGCAGAAGCTGAAAGAACTCACGCCAACAAAGGGCAAGGAGAGTGGCTCCAGGAAGATAGTGGACGACAATCGATGTTCGGGTTCCAAGCACAGAGGAACAAGTATTGGACGCAATCGAATCAGGGCCTTCCAGGGGCACTCAAAGCACAATAACTGACACTTTCGCAGGCACCAAATAAATACCGGCTACATTCCTACCACGTTTGTACGATACACATAGCGCAAGGAGATACAAATGGAGCACGAGTTAGTTAACTGAATACGAGAAGCTGCTTGATAAGAGTGGATAATAAAGAGATTACACAGGCACTAGCTTGTTTCTAGTGTTGCGCAATGTCAATTAGGCCGATTACCTTGAAAAACATTGCTGCCGTATTTCTGATATAGTTTTTTCCAAATTTCTCAATTTCTAATAACAATTAATTTATTTTAGTAGTTTTTCTGTACTCCTATAACACCGCCACACAACACCTCCAGAGGAATGACACCAATTTTGAATCACCTTGTATAATTATGTTTTTAAAATCTGCAAATATATCTGATACCTTCGTGAGTAGCCTTGAGAGTTGAGAATCACGATGATGTTTTATGGCAATGATAAAAATAATGCGAAAGATCGCACGTGCTTTGCATCTGTCAGATGTTGGAGGTTGGAATGAACCGAAGTTTTAACGATCTTTAATAAAAGTAACGAAATTTAACTAAACTCTGTTAGTTATTTTGACTGGTTCCAAATTACCTCCCTGGTTTGATATTTCAATATGATATCCTTTAGATGGGATTTTACAAAGTTGATGATAAGCGAATTGATTGGGTATGGTGTTAGTAACAGTACAAGCAGTAAACGTCAAATATATAGATTAGAAACAAAAGAAAACCCACCTGTAGATCTTGCTTGGCAGCCTCGGCTCCTGCTCTTGTGTTGAATGTGACGAAACCGACAGGCTGAAATAAACATAAAATCGTATATTTAAACTATATTGACAGAAAAATGCTTGACATAATAATTTTCCAAAATTTATCCAATTATTATGACGTATATGTTTCAATAGGAGGCCTCAATGTACAGGCTGCTGGTCACAATTTCACTGTTATAAGAAATAGCGTCCCTGTTTCGTGACTGGAAAAAGTAAAAGCAATTTCCATATAGGAAATTCGATTGATTTCAGTATTTTAAAAACGAACTCAATTTGATATTTTGGAGAAAGCCGATTCTGTAGCATCTCTCTTAATATACCCATAAAAAAAGCTCACGTTCAGCCCTTACAACTCATATACAGTTGTGGATGTTTTGTTTCAAAAATTACGAAAATCTTAAAGACTCTTATTACATCCAAGGGAAACTAATTGCCCCATTTTTATGGTTTCAGGTCTGTTGCTGTCAGATAAATCCCTATTCCTCAACAGTTATTTTAGCCGATAAAAATATTTGAAACTTTTGAAGTTGTCATGCCTTCAAACTTTTCAAATAATTAAAAATATTCTCAGGCATTTAATATTTTGGTTGTGATTAATATTTTAATCGAATTCTTGAGCCAGATTAACAGGATAACCAGTTTTTTCCATACCCGAAAAATTCTCAATAAAAGAAGCGGGGTAAGTGAAGATTGAATATACTCGTGGACATCATGAATGAATTAAGAAAATTTAAGCGCATTTTATTTGTACACATTTGTTGCACATACAGGATGAGTTGTTTTCGATTAGTATAGAAATCTTCCAAACTATAGCTCCTACGAAGAAAGTTAAATGGGCAAAGAATTGCAGTTTTGAATGCTCTACTCGAAACCAATCTTCTTCTTCTTCTTCTTGATATTCGTGTGAAAGGACAACATCCTGTCAAATTCTGTGATCCGCATTCCTGTGATCCCGATGTCAAGATGTTTCATACGAGCGTTCGGGGCCTGCCAGCTGGGCGCCTTGTTTCTAGTCTTTGTCTTTTGGCGCACTTTGCAGTTCGGTTTGGGCTCATTCGTTCTATGTGGTTTCTCCAACACCGGCGTCTCTTTCCCACACATCTGACAACGTCCTGCACTACGGTTCTCGTCTGGTGTTGCCGTTGCGTATCCTGTCATGCAATGTAATCCCCTTGATTGTTCTGAGGATTTCGGTGTACGCTGTTCTCATTTTTCTGTTGGTAACAGAGGTTTCAGCTCTTGTCTCGGCGGCGTAGGTCATTATGTGTCTGGTGCAGCTCTTATAAATTCGTGTCTTGCTCTATGTGGTCATATATCTGTTCTTCCAAATTATATCCTGCAAACACTCTGATACTCTTACGGCTTTTCTGATATGTTTAACCACCTCATTCACTGTATCTCTGCTGCTCGATACCTGTAACCCCCATAGTTGAAATTAATTGCCTGATGTATAATGCGCTCACTCGCCACCAACTTACATCGGATCGGATCTTTGAATATCGCTATAGATTGTGTTTTTTTTATCAAAATTTGCATATTAAGCCTTAGTTAGGTTGAATCTATAGAGGTGTTGCAGGATATCTTCGCTCTCTGCCGTCAGCGGTTGTTCAATCTGAATCATGCATCGACTTTGTTCACTCTTTCAATTATTTGGTCCATTATGATGGAAAAATGGCATGGGCTAAGATCTCCCTATCTAATGCCGGATGGGCCTTTAAGTTCTGTTAGACCATATTCTATTTTTATCATTGTTTTATCGTTTATGTTGAGCTGCTTTATTAGGTTTATATGGGACTTATTAACATCTTTTGGTTCAGTCGGTCGGTTACATTCTAACTAATCGTGTTTTCTCAAAATTTGCGACCTGTCAACAGATATTTAGATACTAATACTTCCGTCAATATTAATCTTAAATGAAAATATTAAATTGAAAGGATAGAAATGGCATTTGGTTTGGAATGCAATTTTCTACAACTTTTCCATTTAATGTCTTAATTAGTTTTTTTCAAATATTTCTTAAAAGATGTAAGATTTTCAAAAAGTAATCGGTTTAAAATGGAGCATCCAAAACTGAATTTATTTGTCCATCTAACATACTCCGTATCTGCTGTAGTCTCCAAGATCGAAGAAAAGTTCCCTTGTATATTATCCAATTTTTGAAGAATTGCACATGTTGACAGATATATTTATAAACTCTATTTAGTCTTAATGCTCTAAATAACATTTAAAAGAACAACTATTCAGTGAGGGACACTTTGAAAAAAGAATCACACAATTGGAAAACGCCCTGTAGAAGGTTTAATTCAAGAGTAAAGTGTTCTTTAAAAGACGATTTTTACAGTATTAAAATATATAACGAAACAAAAGGCTAAAACTGACGAAAGCCCGGTAATTCCAGAGACACCAACCATAGCAGATATTGTGACGACTTATGGAAAGTGAATAAGTTATATTAAGTTATATACGCCAAAACAAGAACAATTATTTTGCCATACCCGTAGGGGGAGCGGCTTAGAAAACCAAAATAAAAGCTAATGGTAAAAAACCATTTTAGCCAATCTTGGTTGTGAAAGTGGCGCCAGTCCTCTATAGAAAAGAGTTTCTCATCATATTTAGATGCCGGGTAGACTACATAGAACATCATTAAACAATGTCGGGTAGACTACAGATACACCAAACCAATATACAAAATATACAGGACAGCAACGACAACAGTACAACTTTACACAAACACATAAAAAATTATTATAAAACGCGGAGTAAGACAAGGTGACACTGTGTCGCCAAAACTTTTCAATGCTGTATTGGAATTTGCTGTTAAATCTCTTGAATGAAAGGACAAGGGCATTAATGTCGATGGTAAATATCTCAGTAATCTCAGATTCGCTGACGTCATCCTTATTATCTCAGACGATTTATGAAAAATAGGATATATGTTATGAGACCTACACGCAGAGGCAAAAAAATGGGTCTTAGTATAAACTTTAATAAAACTAAATTAATGACAAATTTAGTGCCCAGTAAAAGCATAGAAATTATCGGAACAAACATAGAAATAGCAGAAATGTATGTATATTTGGGTCATGAAATCAGTATCGCCAATGATGACCAGACGAACGAGCTTCAAAGGAGAATCTCCCTGGGATGGGCTGCTTTTGGACAGCTACGAAGCGTCTTTAAAAGTGGCATGCCTATCAGTTTAAAACGTAAAACTTTTAACGCATGCATACTACCGGTGGTCACATCCGAAGCAGAAACTCTCACCCTGACAAGGGCAACCATAATAAAATTACATTAAATTGCCTGAGGGACAGAGTCCGAAACGAGGATTTGAGACGCATAATGGGAGTCCAAAATATAATAGAAGGAATTACAAAGCTGAAATGGCGGTGTGCTGGACATGTGGCTAGAACAAGGAACGGGAGATGGTCGAAGAAGTTACTGGAAGGGATGAGAAGCGAAGTGTAGGGAGACTAGGTAGCTGGCGCTCAAACTGGATTGGAACTGTGCAAGATCGAGAAAAATGGAAGACGCTTGAGGAGGCTTATGCCCAGCAGTGAACATCGAGAGGCTGATGATGATGATGACTCATCATATTGTCACCTTCATCACCTAGCGTAACTAACAAACTTAAAAGAAAACTCGATAGGGAACAACACCCGATATTGCACGAAAGCCCGACCCCTATCCAAAACTAATACTGGACGATGAAATGATTCTAGAAATGAACTAGAAAAATTCAATATCAATTCAAGATATGACTTAGATATTAGTCCTTCTTCAACTATTCCAGATATTCGAAGCAAGGAAGGAATGGATCGGGCATCGAGTAGCTTAAAAGAAAAAACACTGCGAGTTTCCGAAAGAGGAGCTAACTACCTATCATCACAGACAGAAAACAGACTTTTCGTAAACAAACTGAGGAAAACCCTGAAATACAACTTAAGACAGGACACGAACCATCAGTAAAATAGTTGCTCGATGGAACTGAACGTAGAGAACCAGAGCATTTGGAGCATGCAAAAGGGTCCAAGACAAGACCATTCAAAAATCCCAGCTCTTCACGCGGAACAAGCTTCAGGGTGTCTTGGCGTTTTTGCAGACACGAAAGAGAAACCAATAATCGGAACAAAGACGGCCAATTTTAATCGACTATTAGGGGAACAGTACAAACGCTGCGGAGTAGTAAACACCAATCAGCCGTGATTGGGGTTTACCAGGAATCACCGGAAAATTTTAAGTCAAGAAAGCTCCAAGAACAGACTGAATCAAAAATAAAGTGCTCAAAGTTTGTGAAGGAAGAAGTGGCAGCAATAACTAATATGATAAACGCAATTTTTGAGACCAGCCAATTCCACGGACTTGTTAGCAGTTTTGGCTTGGCATCATTAAATTATGTAAAAGAGCTGCTTATCGAAAACTGAAAGAGGAACCTTCAGTGAACAGTTCAACTTCAGAACTGAGAAAGGCACTTGTCGGATTTTGAACGTATATCAAGGAGAATCACCACAAAATAGTCACTGAAATCCTCATGCTGGAAGTCTAAGGAGCTTGCTGATAGAGTGTGAAGAAATTATCCACAAACTCAACTACAACATGATGTAGAGGATATGTGTAGGAAAATGTGCAGGTCAAAGATGTTTGCAATTGCGTAAAAAATAAGAGTATTTGAGAAAAGTAGTAACAAAATTGGCTTTCTGGTGTCATTTCTAATAAGTTATAAACTTCAAAGTTTAAGTAAGACAATCGAACACTTACCGAAGCAGTCTTTCCATTTTTACTGGTAACTTTTAATAGCGATCCTTCGTAGCCCTGTAAAAGAAATTAAAAATTAAATTATTTAAAAACTTGTCTCTATAAAGATTATATATTACTAAAAACTTTAAACACACTATAATTAATGCCATAACTGTACTAAATTGCATAGATCTTTCAATATAGAGATTACATTTTTCATAGGATATATAAATTGGGCACCTATCGAATTTTCAGTGGTAGAAAACTGCTCGATTTTTTTTCACATACTCTAATATCGATGACATTTTAATTGATTACCTCAATATTTAAAACAAGTAATGCATAGTTATATGCATACATTTTACAGTACAAGATTTCAATAGAAAAAGCCACCTAAAAATAGCTTAGTTGAGATCGTTTTATGCAAAAGAAGGAAACTTGATGAAATAGTGAAAATTAGAAAATTCAAAATGGTAGTAAAACAATCAAATCTAAGTTTAGACGTCAAGTGTGTCCACTATTATTTATTATATATGGCATTGTTGAATATCTTCAAACTTGTACAAATTGCCACCTATTGGATAACAGAAGATAAGAACCTAATAAACTTGTGGGTTTTGCTATTATTTTAATTATGCCTGTTTGCAAAAGCCTGAGAAGTTTAAGATCTGAAACCTAACAACCATATTTTGACCTTGTAATAATGTTGGAAGAACTACCATCATGAGTTTAACGCATTTTTAAGTCATATAATACTTTAACCTTTTTCACAGAAAACATTTTTAAAGCTATTTCCTTCCTACATACATAGGTCGGAATTGAGGGGTTCAAAATGTCGGGCCAAGTAAGCCCCTAAGGACTCTTAATGCCTTTCTCAAATTAAAAATTGACATGATTGCGCGCTTTTCAGTATTCTTGCACATCAACTCTGGTTGGAAACTTTTTATTTCCTCAATTTTCTATATTATTTCTATATATTTAAGAAATATGATAAGATATATTTTATAACTTCTAAAATAAAATCGTTATATAGACACTTTCTGCTGCTTTACCAAGCAAGTGACAGTGTTTTGAATGCGCAGTTTTTTGTTTGTATTTATATGTATACTACAATACGTAAATTACAAACTATAAAGTTGTCCCAACCTTCCCGCAGAAAACGTCTGCCAATAGCAATTGATACTCGAAATCGGAAGATTTGATAACACAAGTAATAAATTAATTCCAACAGAAACTGCGTCAAATTATAACATTTTTATTAAACATATTACATTTTCGTTCCCAAAGTCACAGAGAAAACTGAAAAATAATGTTACTGTTGAAAAAGTATTTTATTTTTTCAATGCTATGACATCAAAAACAGCAGATGATTGGTAGCGCTGATAGAAACCAATTTAATTTACGTTATTGTAGGATGGTAGATGTAAGTAATAATTTCTGATGTAAATTGGAACGAGCTTCTCGCTACTGCCATATTTTTCTGAGAGCTGTGTAATGTATATTTTTCTGAGAGCCTGTATAGTGTATATTTTGTCACTATTTTCAATGTTTAATAGTTATATATAATTTTGTGGCAAACTACAGAAAAGCAGAATGTTTCGATCATATTTTATACTGTGTCATGTAGGTTGATTGAGGTGGGTACTTAAAAATGTATTCTTGTGTAATGTTATTTTGTTCACATTAGGAATTCAAGTTATAGAGAACCGGTTTTTTTCAATTATTTTCTTACGCTTAATCTAACTTCTTTTATTTGGGTAACTCTTCTCAAAATTGTAGGCTTTTCGGAAAAAAGTACGGCCTTATCGCTTGAGAATTGATAAAAATAATCACTTCTTTAGGATGTGATTATATCGCCTAGTGGAAGTCCGACTTCACACTTGCAATAATAAAGTTTTCAATTCGTAAAAACGCGAGGACAAACTAATTTTTCAACAACTCTAACTGCTAAAGGAAAATTTCCACATAAACCAGTTCATTCGATAACAGTTCAAACATAAACTTAGTAAGAAATTAACTTTTTTCAAATGTAAACTTTGAAAAATTTTTTATGTGTAAATTCCACCAAATAAGTCCTTGATTCCAATTAAAAGCCTTGTAAAAACATTGTAAAGTAACATCTTTTGTGATGACGTTCTTATCTAAAATGTTAGCTAGTTAAGTTCATAGTGAAAATTCGTTTCAACTATCAGGCCTTTGGAAAACACATACGTTGTAATAAATTCAGCTGAGTTTGCTCGCTGCAGGAAATTGAAGTTAATCTCTGGCCCACCCCTGGATATAAGTATTAACTTTCTCTCAGTTTCGAGTAATACTATAAGTACGCACCAGGGAAACCTGATAAATTCAGTTTTCTCCATAAACCCAAGTCAACATTTACTTACCGAGGCGGATAGGATTACGAATTAGAAATTTGTGAGTTACAACAATTTACGATCGATTGAGCGAATTGGTGTCTTAAAAAAGTATCCAGAAATAACTAACCATAATAATAATAAGGAACTTATTCAAATCCACATTATTTTAGTTGCTAGAAAGTTCAGTTCACAAGTCACTAGAGCTAGTTGAAACTAGTATATTTTTGGGATGAATATAGGGCATTTATAACTTTCGCAGTAACATAAAAAAGTAGTAAAATAAAAATGTGTTTCTTAATCTAGCGATAGGTTACAAATTCAAGATTACAACTATCTTCAACTCTGAAAATCCAATTGGCATCAAAATTGAGAATATAAATAAAACGGAATTTGCAAAATTTGTTGTCAATGTGAAAAATTTTATATAGGGAAAACCTCAAAACACTTAATAAGATAATTAAAGAAGACCAGTCATTTATAAAGTAACAAAGTAGTTAAACAAAAAAAAATGTTAATAGCACTTATTTGTTAACATGCATTTGATGATTGCCACGAAATTCAATGCAATGCGTCCACAATTTTAGTTAAGGAATCATTAACAAAAAACGTACAATCTTGCACAAAAACAGCCTTATTTATTAATGGTTAAAATACTCTTTTAAGAGTATAATTCAGTAAAGATAGCAGAACTATTATCTAAACGTCAAGGCAACTTCTCTAAAGTACTTTCTCTAATAACTGGAATACTTTTTTTCTTACATGGATTTTAGGGCAAAATACTCAGCAAATATATTTTCAAACCGCAAACAAACTTCTTTCAGAAATTTCAGAAACATTCAATCGTCAGTCAGTAAAGCACTGAGAAAAGAACCGCAACGGAAGTGAATCTTTCGTATAACTAGGGGCAGGATACACAGCCAAACAAAAAATATTATTAGAGGTCACGACTGAAACATTATTTCCTCGGTCAATGATGTGAAGAAGCGAGCACCAGCAGAACTGAGACTTTCCAGAGGAGTGACAGTTTTACCGAAATAGAATTATGCATTTTCAGAATAGTTTTAATATTGTATCCTTTAGTCGTGAAGCTGTCGGGCACATACAGCTTTCTTGTCAATTAAATAATTGAAATAAGCGTTGCCATTTCAATGTTTGTTAATTCTTTTTTCTACAAATGTTATATAATGACTATGATTTGGCACTCTTTTAAATGTCATAATGATATTTATTACTGCACTACTGCTTTTTTCATTTATTGGCGCCCTACTGCGGTAATCATAATTGTCAAAGTGGTCTCTTAAAATTGTACATTTTAAAATAAGTTCAACTGATGATCTGCTATCTGATATTGAGAACGAAGCTTTTATTGTTGTTTCGGTAATTTGCCAAAGTTCCGCTGATAATCTGTCAATCCATGTTCTAAGATTTGCCGACCAAGAGATTCTTCTTCGGCCAGTTCCTCTCCTGCTGTTAAGTTTGCCCTGCAGGATTTCCTGAAGGAAACCATATCTATATGGGTTCCTAATTATGTGTCCGAAATACTGACGTTTCCGACATTCTCCGGTATCCAACCGCTCTGGTTCTATTTTTATCCGTCGCTTTACTTCTGTGTTGGTCATTTTTTGTCTCCAAGATATTTTCAGTATTCTCCTGTAGAGCCAGAGTTCGAACGCTTCAATTCCCCTGGTAGTCTCTCTAGTAAGTGTCCATGTTTTCAGGTCATACAAAAAGGCCGAGAAGATGTAACAAAGCATGAGTATAAGCTTCATCTCTCAGGATAGATTATGGCTTTTAAAAAGCGAGCCCATTTTAATAAACACTGAGCGGGCCTTCTCGATGCGACATGGTATTTTTTGAGAGTTGTCCCATCTCTCGTTAATGATTGTACCCAAGTATGTGTACTGCCTGACCCTTTGTATTCTACTGTGATTGATCTATAAACTGTTTTCCGCGATGTTTCTCTTACTTACAATGAGGAGTTTGGTTTTTTTTGCGTTCATTTCTAACCCGTACTGTGAGCTAATTTTGGTAACCCTATCCATCAAACTCTCTAATCCTTGCAGATTATCTGCCAACATGAAGTTTAGTACCGTTTATAGTGATTCCTTCTTCAATGTTTTCGAGTACTTCTCGAGAGATGTATTCTGAGTACACGTTAAATAAGATGGGTGATAAAACACATCCCTGCCTCACTCCTCGCGGTATATTTATTTGTTCTGTGTGACTGCCATCAATTCTCAAAACTGCCGTCTGGTTCCAATATAAGCTTATAATTATGTTTAAATATTTTTGACTCATTCCTATTTGCTTCAGTATGTCGACCATTTTATAGTGGTGGACTCGGTCAAACGTTTTTTGAGAATCGAATACTTTGTTAAAATATTCCAATAATCCTTTCTCGCGTGATAAGTTGAGTATATTTCGTTTACTGTACCCTTCTTGGTGCATTGTCTTATTGCAGAATCCATTCTTCATCCGAAAATAAAGCTGATATGTTAACAATTTTTCGTTGCATCAGCTACAAATGCTTTCAAGCAATTTACCGACCTTCTAGAAACTCCATGCCAACTCTCCCTTGACTTAAAATTGCTCCTTAAATCATTACTGAACATGCCCGACTATGACTACGAGCCAAAAAATGTTCCTCCTTCCTGACGCCATGAAAGTAATATTTGAAATCATCAGTACATCTAAGTTAAACCAGAGACACGACTTATC